TGTAAGTTCACTTATTAATAGGTACCTGTAAGACTGACTTGAAATAAGTTAAAATGAGGAGGTATTTTCTGGATTCTAATTGAGACCCATTTTCTGAAAACAGTCCCTTAGATTTTATTCACTGGTTATATTTGGGTCTTGAAAGCGCATGATAAAAACTAATGGAATATTCTCTTTTCCACTAGTTATGCCACTAGTGACTAAGAATCGACACTCTTAATAGAATTTAAAAATAATTTCAATTTATTTGCAGAAATAAATAAGGATACAAAAATTGTGAATTACCATAATTCTTACATATTCAAACACCTACCAAAGGTATTCACTTAAATGTCTCATAAACATCTGAAACCTAACATTCCCCAAAATAAACTCCTGTTCTCCCACACTTCCTTGCACACCCTCTGCCAACACACACACACACACACACACACACACCTCTGCTGCTCAATCACTTAATACTTCCAACTCAGAAAATGGCAAGTCACTCCAAGTTGCTCAGGCCTAAAACCTTGGTATCATATCCTTTACTCCAATCTTTCTTCCACACCCCAAATCCAAATCTAGCACTTGCTATTTTCTCTGCCTGGAATGCTCATCCCCCAGCTCTATCTACGTGGCTTAAATTTCTTCCCCTCCACCAAATCTTTGCTCAAATGACACCGTTGTGAGGACTTCTCCCCTACAACTGCAAACCTAATACCCCACACTCCCTATCCACCTTCCGACTTTCTCACTTATCATGTGACATATATTTTGTCTGCTCCCATCAGAAGTAAGCTACAAGAGAGAACGGATGTTTGATTTGTTCACTGCTGAATCCCTAGTGCCTTGCATATAGAAGACAGTCAAAATATCAGTTGACTGCATGGCTATTCTATACACATCATATGCACAAAATGACACAATCAAGGATACAAAAAATATACATATAAGTAGAAATAACTGATGCATTAGGATAGTGGATGGAATTTAACAAATAAAAACAGGTAAAAGAACAATTGTTAGCATTGTTTTAAGTGGCCAATACAGCACTTGAAGTCTGTTAGTTAACAGTTAACCTTCCACAAACGTTCTAGTTTGGACCCCCCTGCTTTAGGAGGCCACCTCTCTCAACCTCATCCACTCCTGCCCCACCCTTTTCCTCGATTTTACCATAGCTTGAAATTGTACCCATAAAAATAGAAAATACACTCTAATATAGACATTATTTAAATTGTCAAGTTCCCTAGATTAAGCAGGTTCACAGTTGTTTTAAATTAATGTTTCATGAGCACATTATCAGCCTGTAGTTACAAAATAACTGTATTTTTCATTTCTGAAGACCTGCACTGTCCAAAATGGTAACCTTTAGCTATATGTGGATATTTAATTGTTAATTTAAATCGCACAAAAATCCAGCTCCTCAATTGTACTAACCACACTTCAAATGCTCAATGACACATGCAGCTAGTGGCTACCATATTGAACAGCTCAGATACAGGCATTACAGAGAACTTTATTGGGCAGGATTGCTATAGACGTTTTTCCCCAAAATTTTATTTTAAAGCATAAAATTGATTCAGCTGAAACACTGGCAGAGTTTAATTTTGTAATTTTCAATTCTCTACGCTAGTGATTCTCAAAGTATGGTCCCTGGACCAGCAGCAGCATTGCTTAGGGAACTTGTTAGAAATACAGTTGATCCATCAACCATGTGGGGGTTAGGGGAACAAACAGCTGAAAAATCTAGGTATAGCTTTTGACTCTCCAAAAATTTAACTGCAGTTGTCCCTTGGTAACCGCGGGGTATTAATGCCAGGAACCCATTCAGATACCAAAATCCATGGATCCTCTACTCAAGTCCCATATATAAAATGGCAAACAACAATGGATTCAGTCAGCTTTCTGCATCTGTGGATTCCCAACCGCTGATTAAAAACATTCGTTTCAATCACCGGTTGGGTGAATCTACAGATGGCAAATCAGGGATACAAAGGGCTACCTGTATATTTATTGAAAAACCCATTTATAAGTTGACCCATGAAGTTCAAACCCATGTTGTTCAAGGGTCAACTGTACAAATTCTTGAGAGCCTCAGCAATCTGTCTTAATCAGCTTTAACGAGCTCTCCAGGTGATCCAGGAGATTCTGAAACATGCTCAAGTTTTAGACTACTGTTTTAAGTTATTTAAGGGCAGCTGGTCAATCACAACATAAGCTATGAGATATTAGGAGATGTACCATTACAGTCTAAAATAATCTATAAATGGTATATCAACTATGAAATCATACATAATCATGTTTCTATTGTGTTTTATAAAAGAAATACTGGGCTGGCCGAGTGGCGCGTTGGTTAACAGTTGGCTTAAGAGCGCGAGCTCTGAGCAACAGGGCCTCCAGTTCAATTCCCACATGGGCCAGTGACGCTGCGCCCGAGCTGAGCTGTCCTTGGGCTGCCAACAGGTCGCAGGATGGCTCAGCTGGTGTAAAAACAAGATTGCCTCTTTGATGGTGGGCTACACCCACCCACAACTAAGACTGAATTCTGCACCTTGAGCTGAGCTGCCACCCAGATGGCTCAGTGGATACAGCGTGCGCTCTTAACAACAAGGCTGCCGGTTTGACTCCCGCATGGGATGGTGGCTACGCCCACCCGCAACTAAAATTGAACACAGCATCTTGAGCTTAGAGGCCACGAGCTACCGACAGGCAGCCAGATGGCGAATGACGCCCTCCACAATGAAGACTGAGGAACAACAACTTGGCCAGTCCCCTTCCCCAATTCCCCAAAACTGTTCCCCTACCCCAATTCCCCAATAAAATCTTAAAAAAAAATGCTCAGTAGATATTTTCAATTATAACATTAAAACAAAACCAATCATGAACTTCATTTCTTTAAAAAAAAATTAGAACCATAATTTGCTTCCTCTTCCAGTTTGCAGATCCTTTTTTCTTCAAAATAAACAATCACATTTTCATCTTTTTTTTAAAGACTCAGAAGTCTTTAGGAAGGCTTCCACAACAGTGGAATAATCAGGAAAAAGAAATTTTCAAATTTTGTGCCAACTGAAATGTTTACATGAGCAAATAATACTGTTATAAAAAACAAAAACGAAATCTATTAGTTAAAATTTAGCAAGAAGTTGAAACTAAAGTTGCAAAAGTGTTACAAGAGCCTAAACAATATGAGTACTCTAATTTTTTCCTTTTACCACAGATCTAGTATAAAATGAAATATCTACAATATCAGCATGCATATTAAATATTTCTATCAGATTTGCTGATAGAACGACATCCTTAGAACTTTCAGCTAAGAATAGTAATGTAATACATTAAAATGAGAAAGGATCTAGTCTTGGCTTACTACAAATTTGGCCCAAAAAGGAGAGACTTTAAGAGCCTGATTGATTACAAATTTCTGCCACAGCCAAGTGTCTACTAAGATAACCACCGGTGGAAAATTACTTAATCACAATTCGTGTATAGAATGTTTCAGGCGTGTATACTGCAATAGCAGGCACTAGATCATTTTAAGAAATTTTACAGAAGTATTTACAACATATTGAGCTTATGTGCAAACCATGGGGAACCTAATCATACTTAATAATGCTGCCTCGGCTTATAAATGCCCACTTCCAGTCAAATATCGTTCCATAAAGTGAATACTGGCAATGCTTGGCAGAATTTTAAAATCTAAACATTCTTCATTACTAAACACTAAGGCCATGATTTCCAAATATTAAATACTGTTTTAAAAAAAGTCAAATGACTAACACTAAATACTAACCATGAACCAGATAGTGCTATTTCTCTAACTCATCTGGGTATTCCTAGCACAGATCCAAGCATATGATGTACGTTTAACTGGCATGTATGAAAAAAATTCACGAGTACTATCTTCTTTGAGAGGATTCATAGATATTTTTTAGAAGTCCCTGAGGTTGCAAATTGAATTAGGAAATATGACAAATACAGGAAAAGCTAAATGACCTATGACAATTAAAAACACCACGTGGGAAGATATTATTTGCAAAGTTAGTGGCAAAGAGAGTGCTATAAATTCTGACCTGAACGAGTATTATGGGCTGCAGTCTGGACTCCCCACCAGACCGCGACACTATACTTCCATTTAAAAAAAGAAAGTGACACAGCACTCATCCCACCCTAAAATTGTCATCAGAGCAAGTAATACAATAACTAAAGAAAATGGCATAAAGAAACTTCCATACAAGGCTTTTAAAGCATATGGTAGTTCTGAGAAAAGTTAGAACATTACACACACACACACACACACACACACACACACAATTGCTCGCTGGATTCTAGGACCTCTAAAGGCTCCTGAAATACAAGTCTCTCAGGAACAGCATCGCCGGGTTAGTTCTTCCTCCGCCCCCCACGAAGCTTTCCACTGGACTGCCGCCCCAGAAATTTCTCCCAGCATCCGCAATGACAATACTCTCATCTTCCTCTCCCTCCCTTCGCCTGTATCAGACGGTGGCATCTCCCTCCAGAGGAAAAAACGGAGGGCGGGGGAGGCAGAGTAGGAGAGAGAGCTTGCAGCGAGGTCGATGATGGAGGACGAAGGAGAGCAGACGCGGGGGGCCAGGGTGGAGTCCCCTCAGTTCCAGCCCAGTCTCTAGGAGGCCTGGCCAACATCTCCCCACCCCGAGTGCATGCCCCTCGCCCGCCGGACCTGGACGTCCAAGCGGAGGATTCGAGTGACAGCCCCACCACCTGTGCCGCACCCCCTCCCCCCAGGCCTCCGGGGAGACGCCTGCCCCACCAGCAGCGGCCGCGGGATCTTTCTCTTCCCTTCCAGTCCACGTCGCCAATGAGTGACAGGTCCCGGGGGACGCGATCGCAAGTGCATGCCGTTCAGGACTGCTGGTGCAACCCTAGGCCGAAGCCCTCCAACAAGCACGGGAGGGTAGACAGAACGTTCCGGACGGCCCGGGGGACTCGGTCCAGGCCTGGCCTGCCCCAGTTGCCCCACACCCAGCGGGGGTGGCACTTACTGCGGAGATTGTGGATTAGCTCCGAGTGGCTGGCGCCGCCGGATTTCCAGGCCATCGCTAAGCACACCCGGAGCAGGTATAGAACCACCTTCAGCGCGGCGACCGTGCCCAGTAGCTTCCCCAAGAGTGAGACCACCTCCCACACGGTCACCGCCCCGCTCGCGTCCCCGCTGTTGCCGCCGCTGTGACTGCCGTCGCCGCTGCTGCCGCCACTGCGCGCTCCCGGCATCCCCCGCGACACGCATGCGCTCTGTGACGACGCGCGGCCTCGGGTGCGGCTGGGTGGGGCCCAAGGAGAGGGTGGCCTCGAGCCCAGCCGCCCGCGCTGGTGGCTGCTGCGGCTGCCGGAGACTGGAGGAGAGGCCAGGCAGAGTTAGCGCCGCCGCCGCCCCGTGCCCTCTTAATGAGGCCTCGGGCTGCAAACCGCCTCCTTGGTGGGTTCGCCCTGCGGCCAGGCGCAGTGGGCCCGGCTGCGGTCGGTCGCGTGCCTGGATAAGGCTCTGGTCACCGAGCGCGGTTGCAGGATGGCAGTGCCTTTCAGTGCCGCCGCGTCTGTACGATCTGGTTCCGTCGCTGCCGGTGGCTCCGCAGTCGCCGCTGGGTCAGCTGTTGCGAGCGGCGGATCTGCTCCTATAGCTGCCCAGGTTGTTAGACGGTGGGCTTCCTCCGTCCTGCCTCACCCAACCCTGTTTACTAATATTTAGGTCAGTTAGAGTCGGAGCTCTCTAGTGGAGCCGGAATAATCTTAATAGCACCGGAGAGCAAAGGCCGTTTCTAACCCGAGTTCTCCAGCCTCTGGCTTTGTGACAAGTACGTCAGTGTTTGGTTAGCAGAGACTTTGAGACCCTGGTTTGTTCTCAATTCTAAAGTACAAATTCAGAGAGTAGAAGAGTAACATGACATGTAGGGGTGAGGAATGCTTTAACTCGTTAGAACGATGCAGTTGGTTAAAAATACCACAGTATCTAATGTCCAATGTGTTACTCTAACACAAGTATGAGTTTTCAGCAAATTAAGCCTCACAAATTCTACCGTTAAAACTGGACATCAGTACTATTGTTGTCATCGCTACAAGACAGAAGCTGAAAGGGAGCATTTGCTGGCCGCATTCAACTTGCTGACTCCTAGTCAGAACTATGACAGAATCTAGTCATCATTCAGTCCAATAAAATTTTAAGGAAGCAAACAAAGTTACTATGTCAACACATCTATGCACCAGCAGCAATTTTCAAATTCTAGTTCTCACCAGATGTTGTCAAATGTAACTCAGCCTACTTCCAATCCAAAATATATATTACCTATTTTCTGGAATTCTGTGACCATAAATGAAACCACATTCAAAACTGTTCTTTACCTCAATATTAGGAATAAAATTGTCAGGTTGGGACTAATAGTTTTCCATTTTGTCTCTCTGCAGTTTCCTATTATAGTCCATTAAAAAAAAGTCTCTGGCCTGCGGAGTGGCTACTTTGTTAAGAGTTGGCTTAGGAGCACGAGCTCTGAGCTGCAGGGCTACCAGTTTGGATCCCACATGGGCCAGTGACGCTGCGCCCTGTACAGCTAAGATGGTGAACAACAGCTCTACCTGGAGCTGGGCTGCTATGAGTCGTGGTCGATGGCGTAGGCTGCAGCCCTGCTGCAGTGGGCTGCTGTGAGCTACTGTGAGCGGCCCGCAGCCAGCGGCAGCAGGCATGAGCTGCTGTGAGCTGCCATGAGAAGCTGTCCATTGGCCGGCTACTGATCTGCCTCATCCGGGAAGAGCGCAATGATCCCATTGCCAGCTTGGGCCAGTGAAGCGACTGTCCTCCACAACTAGACTGAAGAACAAAAGGACAGAAACTTGTCTGTTCTGCTGCCCCGATTCCCCAATGCTGTTTCCTACCCCCAGTTACCCAATAAAATCTTAAAAATAAAAAGTCTCAATCCTCAATAAGACCTGATAACTCTCTAAAGCTGATAACCAACACACTGTTATGAATACAGTATCAAGGAGATTTTTAGAAAGGTGAATAAGTCACACCTTTTGTATGCAATAGGATTTGCATTCTAATTGCGGAGATCTGCATCAAAAGAAAACTAGCAACTGAGGGCAAAACTTAAGTGCTATTAGTGGCCTAAATTAGTGGTCTAAAGTGCTATGTTTATTTAAGATCATGGGCTGGAATAATCAGGAAAAGATACAGGAAGGAACTGTTCCTTGAAAGATGGGTAGGGTCCTGAGAAGTAGAGAAGACTAAAAGAGTGTTATAGGTGTAACCAAGAACACTGAAAGAACCTACAGCACTGATTCCTGTGCTGTCGACGTTACATATCAAACTCAATTATATACATCAGTCAATTGAGGGAGGTTGGGCAATGGTCGTCAAAACTAGAACTGGAATCCAGCATTCCAACTCCAGGCTCTGCAAATATGTGTTAACAACTTTGAAGCAAAGACTTTGTTTGGGAGACAAAAAGGAAGACATTTAGAATAATAAGTTGGTGTGTTAAAGACATGTATTTCCATGAGAATTTAAGGGTGTGGAATAATCTATGTGCAGTGAACTGCAAAGCTGAATGTTTAGGTGCGGCTACTAGGCGGTTTCTCTTACATTTGTTTTACATTGCACAATTATTGCATAAATGCATTGTGTCAGTGTTCCTACACTGATTTTGCAAGTTAGGAGCAGCTCCTACACCACCAGGACCAGCACATTGTTGTTGCCTCTGTTCAGAAACGCTTGGGTAAGGAAAGACGTCAAAATTTCCTTCGGCTTGAGGGCTGGTGATGCCCTCATTGCCGACCGCAGAGAATTGGCTCTCCGCAGCCACCGTCCGCCTCGTAAGTTCCAGTCCAATCAGGGCTCCGCGGGAAGGGGCGGGACTAAGAGGCGCGGGCTGTGCTTTTTGCTGTCCGCGCTGCGGTAGATTCCGGCATGGAGGAATTTTGTGCTAAGTTTGTGTCTCAGAAAATCAGCAAAACCCGCTGGCGACCGGTGCCTCCGGGAAGTCTGCAGACCGCGGACATCTTCGCTACGGGCTCTTGGGACAATGAGGTACTCCGTTCCCGGGCTAGGAAGCCCCTTCCTCCTCCCTCTCTCGGTTCCCGGGCCGGGAAGTCCCTGCGACCCCGGCCGCCAGCTCGCGAATTCTCTCGCATTCTAGGTCCTCTCGCTCTTCTCCATCCCCAGACTTCCTGTCTCGGGCTCGGTTGCCCCGTTCGTCAGTCATCAGTGGTGTACCTTAGGCTCGAATCTCGTTGTGTTTTAAACTATCACCACTGTTCTGAGATGCTTTTCAAGCAGAGTTGCTTGTAGGCAATACAAATGTTAATTTTCGAGAGTGTAACGTAATATTTCAGCTCAAGGTAAAACTTTCTGCTTTACAGGAAAATTATGTTTCACTGTGGTCTATTGGAGATTTTGGGAACTTGGATTCTGATGGTGGGTTTGAAGGAGACCATCAGTTACTTTGTGGTACCAGACACCATGGTGATGTTATGGATTTACAAGTAAGTCTATGGAATCTCCAAAAGCTGACTTTTAAAAAAACACAGTAATACATTTAGAGATGTAAAGGATCTGAAAATTTGTCTAGTGTCACCCTGGGTTTACAGGAAACTGAGCTCTCTATAGGTTATGATTTTTCAACATCATATAGCCATTTAATAATATTAGAATCAGGAATGGGGAAGGGGATGTGGGTTTAATTCTAGGGCTTTTTTTGTTGTTGTTGTTTTAGTTGGCCATCTACTGTGTGCCAAGCACTGTTTTGGGAGCTTTGCATAAGTTAATTCACATTGCATGCTTTCAAATCAAGTATTGTTATCCCTTTTATCAGTGAGAAAACTGAGATTAAGATCTTTTGAGCAAGTCACTTTACATGTTTTTGCTCTTTGAGTTCTCACAGCAACTCCCTGAGCAGTTCTGTCCTTCTAAAGGTTTACCTAGACTTAAACAATTTAAATTGGCCAAAGTCTCAAAACCACTACTAAGTGTTGGGACTGGAATTAGGTTTTCAAATCCTGGTATGTGTGACTTCAAAGTCCCTGTTTTTTCTTCAATAGAAACCTGCCTAGCCCTGCTTTTCTAAATCTTTATGATGGTGGTCCAAAATTAACTAAATCAGTTTTAGGTGAGTCAACTTAGGGGAAAAAATTGTTATTTTTTTCTTCACAAAAATGCTTATATTGGTATTGGAGTTTTTACTTTCAGGTCTATCATCACATTTTATTTGCTTAGCATTTATAGGCTCTTTGCATTTTAAAACTGTTAGTACTACTAATTAAGTTAAACAGATGGGCTTCTGCCCTACTAATATTTCTGAATCTATAACAAGCAGGAATTTTCTGTTTAGTTTTTTGACCAGGAAAGAATTGTAGCTGCTTCATCAACAGGATGTGTAACAGTTTTCCTTCTCCGTCCAAATAACCAGGTAAAGAAATTTTGTTTGAAAGCTTAATTTGTATTTTAATTATTTTTAGGAAGGCTTAAAGAAGACTGTAATTAATAATGACACAAATAATAATATTATATAGTCTTAAAACATGGAGGGGAAAAACATCATTGTATTACCTGTCTTTTACTAGATTAATTCTAGAACTGTGTTTGTGTGTGCTTTTATTGCATTTGGGTATCTCTTAAATTCTGTTAGTTTAGACCTAACAATGTGGTATTCTGGCAAGGAATTTTCCTGTAATTCTCTCTTTTAAGTTCCCATTCTGGTTTTTGAAGAAAGAGCACCTTTTAACTCAGGTATAATGAGAGAAAACAGGAACAGCTACTTTGCTTCTGTGCATAGAGCTGGGTTTTAATTAGAAAAAAGGATATACTGTGTGAAGACTTGCCATTTTTTTTCAGTGCCTTTTTTGTGTGCTGAAGCCTAAGAGTGCTGACCTTCAGAACATAGTGGTGAGGGCATTCCTTCAAAATAGATAGCCCCACTTGTAGTAATAGTTTTAAGTTGCTGGAAGAGAGTGTTTATTTAGACATTGGAATTAATAAAGGTTGCCTTGCTAATAGGCATGCCTAGGAAATATAAGACCCAGATCTTACTAAGTATTAATGGAGTCATTTAGAAAGCGCCATAGAGATTTATTTCTTAGATGTAGTCTAATTCCCTTAAGAATTTAAAGTTGCTTTTGAACACACAACTACCTGATACCTAAAAGCCATTTCTTTAGTTTGAGATAAGTTTGGGATATTATTGAACAGTGTTCCTTTTGAATCTAATCCAGTGTATAGAAAGCTTTGATGGAAGTAGTTTCTAGACTTTAATAGTTGGAAATACAAAGAAAAAAGGAGAGCGTTGTTCTTTTGCTAGAAGGATATGAGACAATTTTAAAATACTCTTTAGTTGGGGAAAAGTGCTATGTTTTAGAGCTTTGCTTTGATCAATCATATCCTCATTTCTGACACCTAGACGCTGTCAGTCAGCCAACAGTGGACAACAGCTCACTACCACACAGGCCCAGGCAGCCCCTACTGTAGCAGTGCACCATGCACAGGGGTTGTGTGTAGCAACCCAGACATTGTCACAGTCGGAGAAGATGGTCGAATAAATCTCTTCAGAGTTGATCACAAGGAAGCTGTGAGAACTATCGGTAAGAAAAATCATTATATTCTTTTTCCTCCATCATTTAGTAACCGAGCACCTACCATGTACTAAGTAGATGCAATGCTAAGTGTTTGAGGCAAATAGAAATATACAAAACAGGATCCCTTTATCAAGACAATGTGTTGATAAGATACATGACTGAGTGACTACAGCAGAAAGAGAAACTTTTTTATTTGGCTGGAGTGGGTTATGGGTAAAGAATTGAGGGGCAAGTGGCAATTCATCTAGGTTCTAGACCATAAATCACTAAAATATGACACACCAGACGAAAGGAATAGTGTGGAGACAGGATAAGGCCATTTAGAAAATGACAAAATGTGTAGTTTGACCTGAAGTTATTTATATAGGAGAGGTGAGAGATGAAGCAAGACAGGTAAATTGGGGCCAGGTTACATTTTGTTAGGTGAGCAACTAAGGAACTGTTGAAAGTTTTTGAATAAGGGGTGATATACTCCCTGTTTTATTTGTGCTTTAGAAGGATTATTCTAGTGTAATCGTTCTCAACTATGCTTCACAAAGACTTACTTCCCTGCGGAGATTTTTAACAGCCCTCTACCGTAGACCTGAATCAGAACCCGCATGGATTGAGCCCATGAATCAGTTTTTTGTGTTATGGTTATGAGTTCTGAGGAACACTGCTTGTTTAAGACCATTGCCTGGTGGCAGTTTGGAGGAGTGTCACAAAAGTCTATAAGTACATGCTAAATTACGTGATACAAGCTTAAACACTGTTGGAAGAAGAAAAGGACCATTACAGGAAGGACTTCATGGAGAAAAGAGTTGATGAAGATAAAGATTAATAAATTTGATATGAGTCAGCAGAATAATACAGGATCAGAATGAGCTCTGGAGGAAGCACTGGGGCTTGGCCCAGTAGAATGGAGGTTCTGGGCTAAGCACTAGTCAGAAACAAAATTGGTTGTAGAAGAGCTTGAGCAGCTGTCTCAGAAACGCGGAATAACAATCTTAAGTGGAAATAGGGAAATACATAAGTGAAAACTCAGCTTTCTATGTGGAAAACAGTTCAGGTGTCCTGTGAGTGGTATCATGTTTCTATCAAAGAGTTCATTTTAACATACATGTTACTGTACATTTTTTATAAAAATTAAACTGTGGGCCTTTTGAGCTTCTTTTGCTTGGCCCGCTCCAAACTCTGGAGTGTAATTTCTCTTCTAATGGGCCCTTGAGCCATTCTCTACTGCTCAGGCCCACTTCTATTTCTTTGGTACTATCTCTTCTAGTAAACTGCTTTTTCACTAAAAAAAAAAAAAAAAAAAAAA